TCTTTGTTTTCTGTACATGAGCCATCACCTTCCAGGGGTACGCCTACACCATTACCCTAAAATATTTTGATGCTGCTGCTCAGTTAGGTATATTAGCTATTGTTGCTGTAATAAGCATTAAGGCCGTTTGTAGAAAGCACCACAGACTTCTGCACAGCAGGAAAAGAGAACAATAAAAGAAAAACACCAGTTAAATGGACATGTACCCTTATGATCCATGTGAACACCCTGGTCCTCTCTTCTTTGCCGTGTGGCTCTCAGGAGTTAAAGTCTGTTGAGGTGAGTCTCTGCACTAAAAGCAAATCGGATCTCTCAGCTGCTTCCTCTCCCATTGTCAGAGAGCAATCCCATCTTTTGTCATTTAACCTGTGTGACAGGCCATAACCTGAGGAGGCTGTTAAAACCATGTCTGTTTGGAAACCACATCAGCACACTGTAAAAAAACAGGTGATGCTTGTGTCACCCAGACAGCAGGACTCACATCTTAGTTCAGCAGCTTTGAATTTTTTTTGTAGGTGCATTTGCAGCTCTTCTTTTCCGTCTGATAAGGCTGTACATACTATTTTTATTCCCCTGTGTCAATTTTCTTCCATTTGAATAAACTTCATGACATTGCATTTTGGATTTTATTTCAATATATTTAATGCTCTGCTGCTGAGTCAGTCTGTAAGGGATTTGTTTTGTTTTTTGATGAGATGAAACAATGTACAATAAAGTGCATAAAATATTATCTCAGTGCCTCTTTAATCTTTAACAAACACATTGTAACCTAATGTGTCATCATTCCAATGCAAAATAACCATAAATTGACAAAGATCCAAACTGTCACAATTCAATTCACAGAAATATAGAACTATAAAAACGAATAATAAATAAATATCGATATTGGTGACAGCATATTAGCATATTTCTCAAGTCAGGACAATGATATATTGCTCTATAGATATTTTGTCTCACCCCTAATCATAACCTCACATAGGTCTTATCCAGAGTTTCAACATCAGTTAGTTTAGTTTCAGCATTTTTCACTGTGCTCTTCCAGACTGTGCTGACTCTCCTCGGGGTGTTTGAGCAGGTCTGTCAGTGTGTTTGATCCCGCCCTGCTGTCACGGCTGGTTGGGCAGCAGATCAGATTGGACGGGGAGGAGGACAGTTCTCACCGCTGTGCCTCCTCATCCATGATGCAGGAATGACAACATCTTTCACTTTCTTTCACTCATCGTTTTTTTTCCTCACTCTGCCATCACAATTGTAATCTCTCTTTCTTTTTTTCGCTGTCAGTTACCGTCAGTATCCCTCATTCCCTCTCCTGTCCGGATCAGTTTCCGTCCATCCACCAGCGCAGTCGGACAAAGGACTACCTGTGGTGCATTACTGTCTTTAAAAATCTATCTACTCCTCCATTTGTCTTTTCATCCTTTCTCCCAGTGTTTTCTCAAACCTCTCCATGTCCCCTCCCATCAGCACTTCTCCTGTGTGGAATCAACAGTGTGGTTTTTGTCAGTGAAATGTTGCCTGAAAAAAAAAGCTTCAATGCAGCTGCTGCAAAGCACAGCCAGGAGCTGTTAAATATGTTATCAGATAACATGGAAGTCAACCTGCCATCTCATCTGCGTGTAACTGTAGACATGTGGACTCAGAAACATAAGGTGCAGGCCCTGTGTGTGTGTGTGTGTGTGTGTGTGTGTGTGTGTGTGTGTTCATATTGCTTTTATATAATTGTGTTATATGATTCTGTTTAATGGTAATCCGTCCCTTCGTTTTTGCATAATCAAACGCAGACAGAAACATAACCTCCTTGATGGAGGTGATAAAGTAGCCTCTTAGAAATTGAAGTGACCCACAGACACTGTTCAACAAAGTGACACATTTTATTGTTTGTTGGTGTCAGTGTCAGGTGCTTCTCATAATATTTCATCCTTTCAAAGTAAGAGCATTAGAAGGTTAAAAAGGCACCACGACACTTGATATGTTGAAAAACATTTTTAGAAATGAACAATATTCACCAATTTAAACTTTGGCATCATCATATATTCTGCTCAAGGCACTGGTTCCCCAGTTGACTGTAAAATGATAGTTCAGGTGGTTTCCGAGCTGATGCAACTTGTAATTGGTGGGAACTCTGACACATTTCAGGCTTAGGCAACAATGTGAGTCAGCATTTTGTGGCTCAGGCTGCTCAGGTATGTACTTGTCAGATGCTGCTATTTTGTATTTTACAGTGAGTAATGTCACAGTCAGGGCATGTCAGTGGAGATCTTTGACAAAAATCAGACAAATGAGACTCTCAATTGACATATTGGTATTGGTCTTAATGTTTGCTAACATGCACAAATATACAAACTCAAATTTTTATCTTTAATTTTAAGTACTTTCAAAAATAGCATGTTTTGTATCATGGAATCATGGTATTAAATATATGTATCAGCAGATATATCGGTATCTGATTTTTTTTACATCTATTGGCATCAGCTTCCATTGGTCGGGCTCTACTTTCTACATCAGTATTTGTTGCTGGTAATTCAGCAGTTACTCACACAAGTGATGCTCGGTGTGATATTCAGCGTCATGAGCTCCCTCTCAAGAGTCTAGCACAAATTAATTTCCATCATTTTCTGTCCAAGCCCTTCTCTGCAGCTCAACACTGCTCAGTTAAAAGCCTCATCCACTAGGTCTGAAATCTGTTTCAAGGCTTATTCATCAGTCAGTTTACATCCATTTATAGACCGTTTGCCCCCTAAAAAACTAGGAGACCGAGAGATGGAGGGAGGAGAGAAGGGAGGGACAAGGAGGAGGAGAAGGACAGCGGGAGATGAAAAATTAAAAGGTCAGGAAATATCCCAAAGAGTGATGAAGGGATGAAAGGGTGAGGGAGGAGGAAAAGGGAGGGCAGAGGGGATGAAAGAGATGAGAGAGAGGGGTAGGAGGTGGGGGTAAAAAGAGTGACAGAGTTGTGGAAAGGAAAAATCACACAGATAAGCAAATACTCTTCCAGTTGATGCTGCACTGCAACTCCACCTGGACGCTAGAGAATGTGTTACCCTCAGTGTTTGAACGCTGCAGTGATTGAACAGTCTGAACTTCAAACTTGCACTTTATATTTTGGGAAGACAATGTTAGAAAAAAGGACCCAAGTATTATTTATTTATATATTTCTCTGCCCTCTTTCCTCCCTCCATTTCTTTCTTTTTTGCTGGTGGTTCTTTGCAGAGAGAGTAGCTTGTTTCCATGGAAACGGACTGAGCCAGATGAGCTTCGCTATACTTGCACTGCAGCGTAACTCTGTGTGTGTGTGTGTGTGAGAGAGAGAGAGATTGGTCTTGGCTCTAAAGAGAAGGAACGATGATGATTTATGAGAGTCCAATGCACTTGGCAGACACTTGGATGAGCAGAGGATGATGTGCGTGGTTTGTTGTTCATCATTAGCTCCTATGTTATGTCCATGATCCACGCTTTTGTTTGTCTCTTTTTGTCCCTACCTCACCTCTGTCTTTGTTTTCATATTTCCCTTTAAGCCTTCCTCTCGTTCTCTTTCTCTTCACCTCACAGCTGTAGTTCCACACTCTTATCAGTGTCGATGTGGTAATTAAAATCACCACGGGAATGATCACCATCGCCATAGCAATGGCATCTGGGTCATCTCAGCACAAGAGAGAGAGGAACCGTGTCAGACAATATCCTAGATGTTTGTGTGCGTGCACGTGGCTGCGTGTGTTTGTGTGTGTTGTAACTCTGTCCTTGTTTATAGAACTTGGTTCACAACTTGGAGTTTCAGTGGAGGATGGAAGGTCACATTTTATTCTCTGCCAATCTGACATTTCATTGTTTCTACTAAGTGTGGTTGAGGTTTAGATTAAAAAAATAGCATTAATACAACCACAGATGTGTGATAGAGGTTTTCAGGTTTGCATCAGAATGATTGACACAACACACTATTTAAATCATGAGGCTGTCACTTATAGCCAAAGTCAGTAACTGCTTTATTTTATTCAGCAGTGTTTGTGTTTTTTTCTCAGATACACAAACACTGCTGAATAAAATAAAGCAGTTACTCACTTTGGCTATAAGTGACAGCCTCATGATTTAAATAGTCTGAAATTGAAATGTGCCTTAATGTAGGGTTGGTATATTGTCTCTGACACACTTTTTATTGTATCTCTCGAAATCCTCTTCATGTATCATTTGCATCAATAAATAAAAAAGAATGAAATGGTTGGTCGGCGTACCTGCCAACCTACATGTCAGCATACACTACGGAAGCAGAGAGGAAGTAGGCGAGCAAGTTGGGGGGGCGTACCTTTGACGAGGGGGAAGATGGGAAGGGATTGGATATACCAGTTGCATTTTTTTATAGTGTTTAAGTGTAGTTAAGCTAGTTAAGAGACAACTAGCTCAGCTCATAGAGTGTCTGGTGGTGTCAGAACTTCGATGATCTAAAAGTCATTGCTACCATTCAAGAAACTGTTTCAACCAAAAAACGCAACTGTCAACAATCCCGTGCGTCCTGGAGTAGCTGCAGTTTTTGGTTACACCTTTAATGCAAGTTTTTGAAAGTTCAAAATGCTGACTGGCTTGACAGATGGATAGTCATAAAGAAAAAGATTTAAAAAACTCAGTTGATTCTATTGTACGTCTGAGCAGTGGCTGGGAGTTCAGCCTGACAGATGAGCGATGAAGGTGAAATCATAAATGAGATGAATAACTGTCTGGTGAAGGCTATTTAATGCCTGCTTATTCATTTTAGAAGTTGTTTCAAATGTGTGGTCAAAGATATACTACTTTACACACTTTAAAAATACATTGCACTTGCAAACTTATTCACTTGTTAATCAGTAAAATAATTAATTGAAAAGTATCATCGGTTTTATTTTTAAGTAATCTCCTCACTCGCTCGGTTTTTTTCCAGACTGAACTCCTTGTCCATCTCATTGAGGGCAGTTCATTGTCAATGTGCTGTCATGTCCTGTCCACTAATGAGACTGTTTGTGTGTTTGTTGCAGAACTCCCAGAAGAAAAGAGGAGCGCGACCCAACAACAAACCTGACAAGAAGCTCGGTCCACAGGTAACACACACACACACACACACACACACACACACACACACAGCTCACACACAGCTCACACACAGTCCAGCGAATCACTAAGATATACAGAGGGCTTTTTCAGCAACAACACACACACACCACCACCACCACACAAAAATAAAGGGCTACATAGTGATAGGATGAGTAACTGTGTGTTGAGTTGAAACACCTGCAGGATGTGATGGACAGAAGGAGAAGAGAGCAAAACAGAAAAGATGAAGAGAATTGGCTGGAGCAACTCCAGTGGCACTCCCTAGAGAAGGCTGCAAAGACAGTAATTCCTCTCTTGTATCAAACTCGGCAGTGATCCCACGCCACACCAGAAAGAAACACTTTTAAGTTCTTGTGATGCCCTTCAGTGTTTTTTCAATATCTTGAGGTGGTGTATCATAAATCTGCCCTGTCAGATTTCTCAGAGAAAAACAACTCACTTTGTCTGGTTCTTGTAGCTCTGCAGACGTAACAAGGCTCCTTCACAATGAGGTTTGATCTTTTCACTCACCACAAACTTGCATGTATTACATTGTCTCTGTCAGAGTGAGGTCTTGTGAAAGCTGCTTGTTGGGCACCAACCTCCACTGAAGAGGGTAAACTTAATTCAGATCAGATCAGATCAGAAGTACTTTATTAATCCCTGTAGGGAAATTCAAATGTCACCGAGCTCCTGAGAAAGAGGTGAAAGAGCAAAAGCAGGTATAAACATAGTAATATAAAAATAAAGTAAGACTAAAATGAAATAAAAGATATACACAGAAATAAAAACTGGGTATGTATATATTTCCATTTGTACATGAATGTAAGTTAAAGTATARYRAGWATACAGTATTAAGCTTTATAAATTACAGTTGTCATTACACAATTTGACAGCCACAGGCAGGAATGATTTCCTGTGGCGTTCTGTAGAGCAGCGTGGGTGGATGAGTCTGCCACTGAACGAGCTGCAGAGGCTAATCAAGACATTATGGAGAGGGTGTGACGGAAAGTCCAATATTGTCCTTACTTTGGACAAAGTTCTCCTCCCCATCACGACTGTGACACTCCAGCCCCCCCCCTAAAGTCTATCACATCTGTCCTTGCAACTCATCAGGTTTACCTGCGTTTGTCTGTAAAACACAGAAAATTTGCTTTTTTTTGTGTCCTTGAAATCTAGACACACTGGCTTGTCCTTTACTTTAACAAAAAATTATCATGTGTCTGTTTCTCTTGAAAAGTGTCATGTTCTTTTCTTGACAGTAACCATGACCACCCACAGCCTTTGGCTAGACAGAGGACTGGGAGAGAAACATAGAAAATGATATTTTTAATAAGAGAAGATGTGTAAGATTGAAGGAGTGGACAGTGGAAGAGAAAGGATAAAGAGCGTGAGAAAACAGGTGACATCAATATTATAGTCAATACCAAGGTGTCTCTGTGTCAATTAGCGTTAAATCCACTGTTCATTTCTTTTCTGCCAAAGGTTATTTAGATATATAAAACAGTAAACCAGTTTTTCAGGATCCTTTCTTCACAGTCATACCAGCAGATTCACTCAGCTGAAACAAATAATACAAATAAAGTGTAGATAAAAATTAATGTCAGATATTCAGTGAGCGTTGCCCGAGGCATCTCTTCAGACAGGTGACTGCAGTAGCTGCTATTATTTCCTCAAACGTTTCAACATTAAGCAGCTCATTATATTCTGTATAGAACCTTCATCTAATACGATAAAGCATTTCCTACAGCGTGGTATTAAAAATGAGGCACAGCACTAAAATATGCAGTCAAATATGAAATATCAAACAGTTAGCATCTCATTTATTCGTGGCAATATACATATTTTTTTCAATCTTTTAGCCGAGAGATATCACGAGGTAGCTCAGCATTTATGACCAATAATTCATGTCTGTTTATGGAGTATGGTTTACACATAAATCTGCTGAACGAAAAGATAGCTTTTGCTTTTGATGCAGTTTGATGCCATGCAATTTATTAGGGGCTATAAAGAATTAGAATCATGCTTCGATATGATCTGGATTCAATAAAGAGAATCAGATTAAATAGAAACTAAACAATGAATGAAATCTTTTGTTTTTCATTGTGGGAAAACATTTATGTGGGGCAGGCAGCAGGATGAAAACATTATTGACGTATATGTTAACACTGGTGCAACCCTGCTGCTCCTGTGGTGTGACTCTCTAATTAAACTACACAGACACTTGATTAACACCTCTTTTTTCACATCCTCCTTAAATCAGTTGTTTTATTCTTAAATTTCCTCCTTTAATCACAAATTGTAAACAGAATTAAGGTGTCAAACTTTGCTGGTGCCACCGACCAAAATGTCATGTAAAATGTTGCATGTTTGATCCCTCTAGTGCGTGTTTGTTGCCTCTCAGCTCTTGACTCTGCTGTTTGTGTCTCGATCTGTTGTCTCTGACCTATTTCCTCTGGGGGATGACACTCTCACTCTATCTGTCCAAACAAGCTGTGTGGAGTTTGAAGCAGATAAATCAGCAGTTCCTGTTCCATCTCATTTTCACTTCATCCCTTCCTCTTGTCTGGCCTTCATCTGGTCCTGTGTTAGTCATGTGTCCCGGGTTATTTTATTTCTTTTGGATTAAAGATCAGGTCTCAACAATCCCACTCTATATCTAGACATGTTCTTTATTTCTGTTTCTATTCTAACAAAGAAAGTGAACAACTTTTTCCTCAGCTTCGCTTTTTCAAACTCCCCATCTCTTCTTTAGTTGTGAAGATACAAAAAACCTTAAACAATAGTGATAAACTCTTTCGCCTTTGTAAAAAATTGTTTGAAGTACATGGGCTCAGGTTTTAAAGAACGACCATGTTCACAGAGGTATGGATTTGAAACAATTCTCCACAGAAGCTGTTTTCAGCGAAGGTTAATTTTCTCACTACCCTCTCCCTGCAACTTCTCACACCAGCCCTCCTCTTCCTCTCTGAGCCACATACCATAAATGGTTGTAAATGCGTTTAGCCTAGCTTCTCTTAATGTGCTTGGAAATACTCCACAGCCCATGAAACAAACACAGATCGAGCTTCTGAGGAGTGGGTGCACGGGGTCACCTCAGCTCAGCAGTAGTTATAGCTGAGTTTGGGATGTGTTTCAGTGAGAAATGCACATACACACATGAATACCATTAGTCTTCACTTTCTTAAAATAAAAAACTTTACAACACTCCTTGTTTCCTCCTTAATGGTTGAGTTTACAGCTGAATCAGTGGGACATGAAAACATAACAACACCCTGACAGAAACACAGCTATGATTTAATACCATGTATGATCCACGTTGTTTCAGCTAAACTAATAGCAAAGAGCTGCTGTTGAATTCAAGCCCAGTATCAATCTTGTTGTATCTCTTATTTAGTCTCCACGACCAACTCCTGGAAGAATAACATGCTATTTAGCTGCTAAATATAGAAATATGCAATATAAATATAACTTCTGGGGCAAAGCACAAATGACTGACTTTGCTGAAGTTTCTCTCTCTTTGTTTTCAATAATGTGTAAAACAACATGACTCTAACCTCACCATTTGGTTGCTGAAAGCCACAAGTTATTCAATTAGGTCTTTGTCATTTTTTCTTTTAAGTTCCAGGCGATTTTAAATAGAATAAAAAGCCAATTCTTCCCTGTTGAGTTGCAGTACTGTTTGGAGTTGTGGCTTGTTTTCAACTGACCGCAAGCAAAGAGTTTTTTTATGTCTTGTAATTACCAGGGATGATGTCAAAACATCACTGTGATTTAGAGAATACACCAGAACAAAACATCGTCAGCTCCCTGTTTGACCATGCTGAGATTCCAAATTGGTCTGATGACATTCCGGGTTCTGCGAAAAATAGTTGTACTATTAAGAGAATATATATCCTTTTTTTTATGATTAAGCAAGGAGAACTCTCGCCGGAGTTCTACTCTGTCTTAATCTAAAGTCTTGGACCAAGCAGTCTCATTGTAAAACTGTGAAACCTCTTTGAATACCATGCACATGTGACCAACATTATATTGCCCACTACCAAACATTTCCTCCTCCACAAAACAGGCAATTTCCTGCCAGACTGTGTGGGTCTTTCTTCAGAATAGACTCAGGTTATTACAGAATCTTTTCAAACTCCTGATATTTATGATAATGTGATAATAAATATTAACTGTTATATTATTTGTTAGACCTACACTTAGATGCTTCATATTCCTCAATTTAAAAGGCTGATTGTCTGATTTTCTTGCTGTAAAATTACACATAGCCTAAGATTATGACTTTGTTCTCAAAACATAATGACTTTCTCATGTAATGAAAAGTAATGAAAGGTCATATGTCAAATCAGATTTTGAAATTCTTGTTGATTAACTGACCAATCCTTTAAACAGGAGTTACAGACATTTCCATGACACCTCAGTACCTCAGCCTCTCTGTGGTACAGTAGTTCTTGTATCAATGTCCCATCAGCACTCTCTCTGTCCCGTCACTGCAGGAGGACAGTTCAGACCTGAAGTGTCAGCTCCACTTTGCCAAAGAGGAATCAGCCCTGATGTGCAAGAAGTTGACCAAGCTGGTGAAGGACAGCGAGGCCATGAAGGAGGAGCTGGCAAAGTACAGGTCGCTGTACGGAGACGTGGACGCCTCGCTGACCGTGGAAGAGGTGAGGGGTGGATGAGGAGCAGAGAAAGATCTGGACTTTTTACTGTTGAGCTATTTTATATTAGAGGAAGAAGTAATTCAGATCTTACTGTGTCAATGTAACATAAAGATTCATGTGCAAATTAGCACAGACAAATAAGTGGTGAGGGAACAGGCGGCCCCTTCACTTCACAGTTACAGGGTTCTAGGTCCAGGACTGGTTCAGGGAAACGCAAGCAAGTCCAGTTACCTACGTACACATGTACAACTCAAACCACAGTCCATTCACATGAAGGTTAATTGGTGACTCCAAATTGTGAGTATGAGTGTAAATGGTTATTTGTCTCAATGTCTCAACCCTGTGATAGACTGGAGACCTGTGTACCCGCCTCTCACCAGCAAATGGTATGATTGATGGATGGGTAGATGGATGAATGGATGGATTGATAATTGGATGGATGGGTGGATGAATAATTTAGTAATGTAATGTTTTCTTAAGTCTATCAGAACATTGTAGCTCTTTAAACCCAACCCCTTCACATTCCCCCCACTACCAAAAATGCCTGGTAAAACGTTATGAGGAGCATTTGTATTGTTTAACAAACAGCCAAAACACTCCAATTAGATTTAATGAGAGTTGTGCTCATCAAATCAGACTTACTTTTGAACCATTTCAGTGACTAATGCTGAAAACTAAACATCAACAAATATTTCAACTAGTAGAAACTGCTTTCAGTCGTACATGTTATTGATCAGCAGTCGTCAATAGCCAAGACTGGTAATGCTAAAAATTAATATGACAGTTTGCTCTTCCCAAACATGAGCTGAGTAGTTGGGTAGAAGCAGTTGATGATGATGATTCATCATAGCAGTCATAAAAGTCAAATGCTGATTAAAAGTGTGTGAGTGAAGACGTGGGAGAAGAAGAAGGAAAATGTTCCACTCACCTCATGTCTCTTTTATTTGACACCCCCCCAGGTTGCTGACTCCCCCCACACCCGTGAGGCAGAGGTAAGAGTCCACCTGAGGCTGGTGGAGGAGGAGGCCAACCTGCTGAGTCGACGCATCGTGGAGCTGGAGGTGGAGAACCGGGGGCTCCGAGCAGAGATGGATGACATGAAGGGGCCTCAAGGTAGTTTTAGAAACTCGTCTCATCTGACAGTTCTACCTTTCTGTCATTAGTCAGCTCTGTGGAGATGCAAGAGATTTTGAATTAATGGATAGTGCCAGCTAATTTAAATGAGGATGTTATTGTTAAATGTGGATGATACTGGCTTTTTCTCTGATTTGACTATTATTTTCATGGGAGACTCATATATGACCAGTTTGAATCATAGACTGTATATCAAGATTGACAACGCATCTCCGCCCCCTCCCTTTGTACAAAACCATGCTAACATATCCCAGATACATGTTCCGCCATCTAGCACTTTTGTGTCTGAGCAGAGTGTCAATGCAGAGTCTGAGCAGTAGACTTGTTTAAAATGATCATGAAGTTTAATTAACACCTCAGTTTAATGGAAACATCATGACTCTTGGGAATGAGGGTTTGTTGCAGACTACATCAGTTTTATCTGTGTGTACCAAATAAACAGTACAATCCTTATACTCTGTATCACAATTTATTCCTTATGCTGTGGGTTTTCTCCTAGATGGACCTCAAGAACTCTCTGGTGTCAGCTGTGGTCTAGGTGTGGGTCTTGGTCTCTCTGGAGGAACCATGGTGCTCGGAGGAGGGGCTGCATCTGAAAACGTCATGGAGCTCCAGAGACACCTCCAGTTTGTGGAGGAGGAGGCGGAGCTGCTGAGGAGGTCTTTGATCGAGATGGAGGAACAGAACAAGCTCCTGATGAACGAGATCAACCGCTACAAATCCGAACTCCCGCCGCTGATGTCCACGCTGTCGTCTAACTCGCTGACGTCGCTGGCGGACGGGCTGCTCAACGACAGCCCGGTGCACACCATACAGGAAGGGGCGGTGTTCATCAGCACGGACGCCCCTGCTCAGGAGGAGGAGCTCAGTCTGGCGAGGCTTCAGATTGGAGAGTTGAGCGGGAAGGTGAAGAAGCTACAGTACGAAAACCGAGTGCTTCTCTCCAACCTGCAGCGCTGTGATCTGGCCTCCTACAATGCTCCTTCCTCCTCATCCTCCTCGTCTTCGTTACGACTGGCTCTGGAGACTGACGCAGAGGCCGGAGACTCAGCTGAGTGCCTCCCCACCAGGTAGTAACACATTTATAATGTGTCCATTTCCTTAACAATGTTGCTGGATGAAGTTGTGGTTTTACAGTGTGGGAGTCTTCAGTTAGAGTTCTTTAAGTGCTCTCTGTGTTTTCCCATCAGCCCGCCCCACCGCAAAGAGCCAGTAGGGGGCGAGAATGACGCCCTTGAGCTCAAGGAGCGGAAAAAGAAGTTCGAGGACAGCGCTGACGCGACGGCCTCGCTTCCCGGGTGCCTGGGGCAGAAGGACCACGATGCTTTGCTGGCCATGAGGGACCAGGCTCGCTTAGTTTCCACGGCGATACAGCTCCTGACCTCCCCCGAGTCCAACTGCCTCTCCTCCTCGCCATCCATCTACCACAAGGTCTGCAGCAACGATGCAGCGGAGCCGTGTGACCTCGAGAAACCTCAGCCTCACAGTCAGGTACATGTCCTCTGTTTGGTGTGCAGATTCCCCGCAATGCTATCTAATGAAAGCGTTTCAGTTTCAAACACTTGTGGCCATTGAATTTAATCCTATTTTTCATGAAATCTTTTGGAAGCCCAAAGATGTGGCCCCCCTAATTAAACATTTTAGTGTATTCATTAAAAACTGCAGTAAAATCCGCTTGAACGGAACCACTGGCAATGTAAAATAATTGGGTTTTATATTTTTCAGCCTCAGTCCACTGTACTCTTGAGATGCAGACTACTCCCTGCTGACTAATGAGTTTGCAAGGAATTGTTTGTAATTATCTGTATTTCCTCTACAGTGATAGATGTCAACAATAGATTTAATGCTACATTTCATTAATGACTATACGATGACAGCAGCTGCTGCTATAATAGCTGCGAGTATTATGGGACATAGATATATGACTTTTAGATTAATTCATAAGCTCAATAAATCAACCAAATTTGTCCTTTACTTCCTTAACGTTTCTCTGCAGAAAGAACTGGACGTGTCATTCTTTTGGTTTTATCTGATCATTATTAGTATCAGATCAACTACTTGTGCTCTCAGTATAATAAAGTATAATATGAGTATGCTGCACCAGAATAAATTGTTTAGATTATCTGTCAGTGCTGAATAACAGATCCCCAAAGTCTTCTAAAGAATGAGTGAGTCCAAAGCTATTTTCAGCCATGAGCTCCAGAGGATGTCCTCACTATTGGGTGCAGAGGTTTACATATGAGCAACACATCTGGAGATTCTCTGGTCAGATGCGTTCAAAGCAACTGAAAATCTCCAGTGTTCAGGGGAGGGGGGGATGCAGCATTCAAGAGGAAGGACAATACATATAAATTAGGCTGCAGAAAGCACTTGTTTTTGTTTATAACACATCAACACTAGCGTTCGCCCTTATCACCTGAGATATTTCTATTCTTTTTTTGCAGTGAATCCTCCAGATAATCTCCTGCTATTTTCTCACACTGGCTCTCTCAGACGTTATCCAGAGAATTTATGAGGGTCTGGAAGTAGAATCTCCAGAGAATGTCCACAGCAACTGACTCAGACATTTGCGTTCTCACATGCAGCTCCTTTGGTTCATTTCAGGAGATTATCCATAGTTCAGTCCATGAAAATATTCACTTAATTTCAACAAAAGCATGGTTAATCTTTTCTTTTTTTTTATTTGTTCAAAACCAAAGAGCAAACTGCATCTTCAGCAACAACATTTATCATCCGACAGCATTCCCTCATTGAGCCAATAATGACTGTGGCTGTTTGATAATTTCTGTCTTATCTTTGTTCACCAGATTTCTGAGCTGTCTGACCTGGCGGACCGGCCTCTGGTTGGCGCTCTGACCAGCAGGCTCCAGGCCCTGCACAACCAGCTACAAGCCTTTGTGGAGCGGGTCGACAGCCTGGGTAAATCCTCAGCAAGTGGGCGGGACCCTCAGGTGGAAGGAGCCCCTCCCCTGGCCTCCCTCGTTTGCTCTGGGGATGACCTGGATAGAATTAATACTCCTGAGGAGAAGGTAAAAAGACAAGACATCACACTCCTCTTCTTCACTCCTTCACACCTCTTTCATTTACTGTCAGTCTTTTTTTAAGCTTTTTATTTTGTTGAGCTCTATTTTCTGTTTTCACTAGTTTCTTTTGCTATTCTATAGATTTGTGTTTGGTCCACTAACCATTACTTTGGCTGACTAACACTCCCAGTGCCATTTAAACATGCTGCTTTAGCTTCTTCTCACAGTGAAGAGTGGATTCACACAGCACGCTCAAATCTGTTGCACCGCCACCAATGCCCTGAAGTAACAGACAAAAAACCACAAGATTAAATGAGGTGAAGTGAGAGGATCAGGCATCGTTCTGGCTGAATTCAGCTGAAATATCAATTGTTTACGATCTGTTTGTAAGAAAACAAAAGCTTTTCATCTCTCAAGTGTTTGGACCTAAGCTGTTGAAGGTTTGAGCTGCCTGTGTGAACCTCTTAACACAACACCATTCATGTCCTTTGCATGCTCTTGGAATTTCCTCCTGACTTGATATTGAGTTCTAGCTTTAGGCCTCAAATGGAGCCTGTTTGGTGCATGGACATAGTGAGGTTACTGAGAGCCCATAAAGCACCATTTATATGTATTCTCACCAGTGGATGATAAAAATCAATTCAGCACCCAGGCTGAGATGAGCAATATTGATCACAACTATTTTCAGTTGAAATCATCATATCATGACTTATCTCATGATCTCTATTAAGATTCATTGTGCTGGATTCTGTTGCAGTAGTCACCTAACAAATAATGAACAATACACAAAGGGTGACGCTACTTTGGTTTTATTTTTTGATTAAAATCTTAGCATAAAATTGATAAAGGTAAAAACTGACCTGTCCTTATTTTAAGGCTACTGTTAAAGCTAGCAATCGATTCGTCCCCACGACTCTTTTGTCAAAGCTTTGCCGTTAAAACACATGAACGCCCGTTTCCTGACAGCTGATGGAAGTCAATTTTTCCAGACAATGGACAGGGTGCACGCAGTCAGACGGGTCAGTTAGTGACAGACAGGTATACCATCCAATCATGAGAATGACATGATGGTACCGGGATGTGAAGAGGACTTTCCAACCGTACCTTTTAATCATTCCTGAATCCAGACTGGTAGAAACCCCAAAAAACCCTATGAGAATATAAAAATATTACCTTCAATAGAGTCTGAAAGCAAAAGCAAATAGTCCAAGTTTTCCATATCCATTGTTTACCTGCCAAAAATCTCAAGTGGTATTATAATTGATTCAAACTTCTGAAGGCTTCACACAAGAAAGCAAGCTTTGAGCTTAACTCTGAAATAGTTCATTGCTATGGTATAGTATCATGCTATAGTTAATTGTCAATGATTTATGAATTACTCTAAGCATCTACTGTATTTGCAAGTTTATAATGGTCCACAAATAAAATGTATAATATATAATATTTGAATCTGCCAAAGCTTTAAATTTACAGGACTGGCTTATTTTTCTACAGTACTTAAAGATCCAGGACTTTTTTGTTAAAAAAAGTAGAATGAATAAACCAAATTTGATATTTTTGGTATTTTGTGTTTTGACTTTACAACAAGTGAAACTTTTTTCATATTAAATCTGTGTTTCCTATTCTGATCCAATCTAATTTACCTGTTTGGAGAAAGCTGTGATTATACATAGTTTTGACTGAGTAAATTACAAAGTTTAGACTCCATTAGAGGCCACTTCTGAGACCCAACACCCCTCCGATCTCTCCTCCTTCTCCTTCCTCTCCCTCCTTCCCTCCTTCCCTCTGCACGGGCACCATAATCGTCGGTTTCTGCATGTCACTTTCATCTCACTTTTCCCCTCGATTTTAAACCTCCTTTATCCTACTCCCAACGCCTCCTCATCTCCACCACCTCCCTCACTGCTTCTCCTCTCTTCCTCTTATTCCCTGATTCTTCCTCCGTTGCTACTCTACTCTCCCTGGACATTTCATCTTAACCACCGTACTCCTTCTCTTGCCTTTGTTCGTCTTATCTCTCTTCCTTCCCCTCCCTCTCTCCCATCGCTGTTGCCCTCATCTCTCCCTCTTTGTTCCACTCTTCCCATCTCTCTTTTCCTCTCCTCAGCCATTCATTCTACCTTCCATCCTCCTCTTCTTTCTTTTCTCCACTCTCTCCTTCTCCTCTCTGACCAAGCTTTTCTTCCTCTACATCCTTTTCTTTGTCTTGTGAGTGCCATAAATCATGTCTGTTATGTCTTTAATTTTTAATTTTCCTGAACGTCGACACATGGATGTACACATCATCGTGGTTGTATTGTTTTTTCTTATTGTGTTTGTTTGTTTGTCTTTGTTTTCCATCATTTTCTCCATTTTCTTTGTTCCACAACTTCTCTTCCTCCCCCATCTCTCCCTCTTCCCTCTGTTTTTTGTGTTTGTGTGTTTTTTTTTTCTTCATTAACTTGCCCATGCATGCATGCAGCAGCCTGATTACAGGGGCCAATCAGAGACAGACGTTAAAGGTCAAACTGGAGAAAACAGCCAATCAGAGATTAACGAGGCACAAAAGCAGGAAATCAGCCAGCTGGAGCAGGAAGAGAAGGAGACCGATGATGAACTGGTAAGTCACATTAAAACTATCAAATCACTCTCATCGAGACACACAAGAGGGAGTTTCAGCCCCAGTCTCTCTCAGTGCTTACAGCTAACAAAAATCTGGAGGCAGAACCATGAGCCTGAAGGTTCACGTCAACATTTTTCACTCTCTCATACATACACACATGTATACATACACAAGACAGACATTGACAATATGGATTTAGCTGGTCACAGTCTAGAATGAGGAAGTAACTAAGGAAAGTAACTAAGTAAAGGTTGAGGAATATTTTACAATATCAGGTGGCTGTGGCTGAGGGGTAGAGCGGTCGTCCTCCAACCACAAGGTCGGCAGATCGTTCCCAGTCTTCCCCATCTGCATGCTGAGATGTCTGTGGGCAAGATACGGAACTGCAAAATGTTTTACTGTAAACTGGTCATCAAGACTAGAAAAGCTCTATAAATACAGACCATTGAGACCATTTAGATAAACAATTGGTCAAATTTATACTATTAACCAACATTCTTGAGACTGAGTTACCTGAAGGGTGGAGAATAATATGAAGCACAACTTGTTTGGTATAATATCTCAGAATATTAACTATTAACGTAACCAGCGTGCTGTTGTTGTGTAAAACGTGTCTCCAGCAGACTCACTTTTCTACTCGGAAAAGTGGTTGTATGTCTTTCTCAATTGGCCTTTTGCTCCTGCATGAAAACTAATGGGCGTTGTTTTCTTAACATCCCCTCACATGGTCCACTGTGACACTGCAGCATTTCTGCTCTGATCGCTCTGTGTGTGTCTCTTCACATGTGCATATGTAGCAGACAATACAGATTAAAAAGGGAATTATAAATTAAGACCACAACAAGGCTTATAAAAGTAACTAGCTGAACTTCAATGAACAGTCGGCTATTTGGCCAACAGCTTGTCGCTGTTATAAAGCCCTGGACATGTGGCGTAATGTCTCAGAGCGGTCATGCTAAATTTAGAATTACCATGCAGGAAACTCATTGGCTACCTTGGGGCGACCGGGTGCTAGTGGACATCGTGTTGGCTACCACTGCTCCAACCATATAGGTTAGTCTTAGTGATGTTGGACATCTCAACTCTGCATCCAGACAAAAATACCATAACTCAAGGTCCATTTACCAGCTTTTTCAAAGTTTTCAACTTTATCAGTCATCATGTGACTTAGGCACAGATCATCAGTCATAGGTCCTAAATCCTGTCTCATTAGCTGTGTCCCAATTCAGGGGCCACGCAGTGTACCCAGCACACAAAGGAGGCAGCCTTCATGGGCCAAAGGAAGGAAATGAGACGGTCTGGTCTAGAGAGGATTTCTGTGATCTGTGTCACCAGCTCATCTTGTCCTTATTGCTGTTGCCTAGCAACAGAGCTGCAGTTGGACACGATGAGAAACTTTTAATGCCCCTTGTTTTTTTAACATGTGCCTCGTTAGCTGTTCAGTTGAGTGATACTCAGCGTTGGACATCTTGTCACTTGCAAGTTTATCATTGAAGTGCACTGAATCCTGGGATAGGTTGGTCCACCCATTGGGGCCTTTGTGTCTCTGGGATAGAAGGATGCACTTGTTAGGTGCATTTGAAGGAGCCTTCAAAATGGGACAGCCTATTCGTGCTGCTCTGACGCAATTGGTCCTTAAATGCATCCTCTGAAGGTTACAGCCCCTGAATTGAGACACTGCTATAGTCTCTCTCCTGGTTTTAATGGCAGCCTCTGTAGATATGACCACCTTGATGTAAATATGAAGTATTTCAATATAAGACCCATTCTAGGGTCAACAATTCATCTAAGAACTGTTGATGCAACACACTAGTGAAAACATCACAAGAATTATTTTACATTCAATTTCAGCCAATAGATCCCTTTCACCTAAATCTTACACACTGGACCTTTAAGAAAGTACTGATACAAACTCTAATTATAACTCTGAAAACAGGCCTCTTATATCCATCACATCACTTGTTCTGAAGCAAACACACATCTGGCAGCCTTGCAAAGGTCAATAAGGGCTCACTTACACACACATTTGTACACAAGAAACACAATCTGTAGCTTGCCGTCAGGGATGTGGTACAGCTGTAGCAAACTCAGCAACACAGTTGCTGTTAACTAACAAAACAGTGACTTCATTGTCAGCTGTGGGACTGACAGGAAGAAGAGATCTTTGTTTGGTTGACATTTTACTGGTGTGTCTCCATGGTAACCAGGGCTTTGTGTGTCTACATCTTTATCCACAAATGAGAGGGTGAATGGGAGGTGACGAAAATAGAATGTGGGAGAGATAACAAGTAGTTTGATATTATTGATGCAGGTAGTTGTCTGTAGCAGAGCAGTGACACAGGAGAAACAAGTGTATACATGAACTCACTGTTCATCGTACTGCTAAATATACGCTGCAATACTCAGTGGTAGAGTTGTTATTGTAGGAGCTAGAGTCTACACAGCAGCAATCAGGGATGATTTTCGTATGATCAAATATTAAAACATAATGTACAGAAAAAAAAATTGCACTTGAAGAAACATCAGCTTGATAAGAACTACCTACAATGACAGAAACAATTGCTGAGAAATATTTATCTCAGGTTACTATCACTTTTCATTGTGGCCCATGCCCCATCCACTAACATGGAGGAGGCAGCCAACTACCAGGGGGCAATGGAGTTATTGGAGTGTGTTCAAAATCTCTAGTTGCTCAGTATCCATGGGCAGCCTCCATGTTATTCACATTCACTTTGGAACAGAGGTGGGAGTAGTGTGGAAGCTGTGTGCAGCCGGGGTGGAGGTTAGAGAGGCTGAGCCCAGTGGAGAGTGAAAGTGGACATTAATGGTGCGGTGGTTCGTCGATGGATCGCACTCACTCAGCAGCCAAATGAGGCATGGCAGAGTGCGTGAGACCAGGTTTGTGCGAGCGGACGTACAGTAGTGAGGTGTGATGTAAAGTGTGTTGTAGCACAAAACTGTCATGTTATTTGCTTCTTGCACTTGACTGTTTTCCTTTTTTCATTTCTTTCTCACTCTCCCAGCCCTCGCTATTTCACCTCCCATTACTGCTTCCATTCTTTTTCTCATTCATCTCTTGCCTATTTACTTCTCGGCCTCCTTCTTTGTTTTCTTCCTACCCACACATGTTTCCTTATGTACTGCTCTCCACTTTTCTAGCATTCTTTCCCCTCCTCCTTATCCCCCCTTACACACACATACTTACACATTACCTCATGTTCCTTATTTCTCCTCCAGCCCTCCGAGTCCAGTGACCTCCAGGCCCTGTCTGAAGCAGAGGAGTCCGCTGAGGGAGCTCAGGAGGAGCTAGAGAAGGAGAAACCGACTCAGATAGAAACTGTTCTCAAATTCACACAGGTTTGTGTTCAGCATCAAGAACTCGAGACACACACATGGATAAACTAAACTTTAAAATGATCTCCAACTCACACGTAAGCCTCTTTTCCACTGGTCAAAAAACCCACTAACACATGGCTTTTGTCTGCGATGGGAACAGAGACAATTAGCATTCACTCCCAGGTCAAATGACTTTGCAGTAGACACAGCATTTAATCAGCTCTGATCGACAGTGTTGGAAGCGGGACATCACAGTGAACCCGCAAATTTGGCAGACATCAAGAGTGCCTCTGTTTTCAGCACATTTGTGAGATTGAAAATGACGCACCAGGGCGGAAAACAGAATGGCAAGCTGCTCTACTGGCAATCGGAAAGGAGCCAATTGCCTTTTCTTGCAGGTTCACAAGGTTTAGCATTGTACAGACGTTAATTTTAGTGTAAAAGAGGTATACAATCACTTTATACAGAAGTGCACAGAAGAATTCACATTGAAATACAAAAATAATTTAGTTTAGTGAGGGAATGGGCTCCTGGGAGGTTATTTATTTAACTTTCCTTCTTTTATGAACATAAGTTTAAATCCTGAGACAATCAATTGTCCATTATACATGGGTAATTAAGATTGCACACACTAACCCTCCTGTTTGATAGATTTGTGATTGATTTGCATTAGAGGTGAAGAGACATTCAACAAATGAACCCTTTCGGCTCATGGCCTCGCTGATTGTTCGTTTCTCCCTCTCTCAGCTCCAGGAGGAGCACCAGAAGGCTCTGCTCCGTCGGGACTTCCAGCTGCAGAGTTTGGGTCTCCAGGCTCGGCTGCAGCAGAAGCTATGGAGCCAGGAGAGGACGCTGCTGGTCCAGGAGTCTCAGCATCTCAAACAGGCCCTGCTACTGCTCAGCCTCAAACTACGCTGCTTCCTCAAACAGTGGCGGCTGGGCTGCAAGAAGGACACAGAATGGAAAGACATCTTGGAGGTATGAGGGAATGGACAGGACAGTGGCATCTGGCTTTACTTATTTATAGTTGACAAATGGTCATATGTTCTAATGGTTTAAATTCTCACACAGGCCACAGTTGTCTCTGGTAAAAGTGATTTAATTTAAATGTAAATGGGAAAAATGTACATGATGTATTAAAACAATTGTTGTCCATGCATACAAAACACTGTTATATGTAAATGTTAAAGGTGAAGGATTGACAGGTGATCCTGCTCTTTGATTGGTTGTTTAGATGAACAGCCTGAAAGATCTCTACCTGCTGTTGGAGGAGGACAACCTCACAAGTCCCGCCCACCAGACTGACAAAAGATCTGCTGCTGACGAACATCCTCTCAGCCCAACTATCAAGGTAGGCAGAGTGACACACACACACACACACACACACACACACACACACACATACTCACACACTCTCACATGCATTTCCTGTTGTTTACCTGTAGTCAAGTGCCGTGAGCAGTACTTTGGCAGACCTGAGGGTGGCGTTGCAGGATCTGAGTGGTGAGCTGCGACAGGAGATGCAAGGCTCCCAGGAACTCACCCAGCAGTTCGCAAAGGCCAAGGCATCATGGGAAGTGGAGAGGACAGAACTGCAGAGCCTCATCACACAGGTAGCGGAGAGGAAGATTTGGTGGAGCTGCTTTCCTGTTGTTTCTGTAATGTTAACCCCGGGCTGTGGTTGCTAGACCCATGGCCAACAAGTACAATAATACAAAATATATTTTAACTTATCAACCTTTATTGCCTGAAATATATTTATTGTTAGGTTATTATTTTGTTAAACACACTTTAAGCCTGATGTCGGTGAACAATGATTCGTTAGATGCTCTCTGCATGTGGTGACAGGTCTTTTTTCTTTCCTTGAACTGACTTGGTGCTTGTACCTGTGAAAGGTGATGTGGACGGCATCACGTTTTCAAGGCAGCCCTATGCATGAAAATTAGTTTTAAAATAAATGAATCCAGTGGAATTATGCTTGCATGTAATTTGAGAGTTAATGCTTCACCTTTTGGGCAACAGACTGAAGAAGAAGCTGCTCTGAAGTGGCCAGTGTTCATTTTGACAAGTACTTTTTTAAAAATGATGACCCCCATTTGCTCAATTTGTACATCTCAGTCTGTCAAGTGAGTTATTTGTACATCCAACCATTTCATCCTCTGTCTGTCTTTCCATCTGTCTTGTCTACAGGCGTTGCGTAATGGTTTTAATTCTCTCTCCTCTTCTCTTCCCTCACTGTCTCTCTGTCTCTCTCATAACAGCAGCAAAGTGCTAATTAATGGCCTCTGAGATAGAACACAGCCCATTTGTTACCGCCTGGTAATTGAGATATAAAAGAAAGAGAGAGAAAAAGGATGAGATAGAGGCCTGGTAAAATCTGGCAATTACATTTTTTTTCATGTCTTCTTATCTCATGTCTCTGAGCACATATTCTTCCTCTATCTAGCATCATATGACAAATGAATATCAACAATGTCTTTTAGATGATGTAACCTTTTCATAAAGTTTAAAATCTGTGCAGATGAACCTTGTTCTCAGGAGCATATGGACAGATAGGAAATGAAAAGGTCAAAACTTTGTCCTCAAAATAAACAGCACAAGCAGCATTAACACAGTTTGTATTTATTATTCTTTTTGTCTAGGTTATGAATGTAAACCTGTAAAACCACATGGATACAATGCAACTACAAAGCCATGGAGCCCATAAGCCTTATTCCAAACTATAATAATAAGAAGAATTCACACACAAATATCAAACACAGCTCAACAATCATCAACAATACCAGAAAATTGACCACAATGCCTTGCAGCACCGACATGTGGTCATAGTACAACAAAAAACAATAAAGTACAATAAGTCAAAACACAAGACTACACACACACACACACACACAGACGGAGTCATTAATCATTATAATAAGAGAGATTCTGGCGTGAGATCATTTATCTTCTGATTGGTTTGGCAGTTCACTCAACAGCCAATAGGAGATGAGCAGCATTACAAACATAAAACACCCCCCTTTTCCTAAATGTGATTTGGCTGCAGGTTTCTATGAGAATACATTTACAGTCAAACCATTGTAATCAAAGATGGAATGGCCAGGCTGTGATTCACTTTGGCCAAAGCCAATTCATCATGTAGAGCTGTGTCAGCACGCTGGATGACCAACACGAACAAATATGAGATTTATGTTTTATTTTATTTGAGTGTATTACACTTCTTTACTAATTTCATCAAACTCAAACTCACACATCTCTGCAACACTTAAATGTCATTATTCTCTTTACTTGGCCTACCCAAGTGTGTGTGTGTGTGTGTGTGTGTGTGTGTGTGTGTGTGTGTGTGTGTGTGTGTGTGTGTG